GACACTGTAAGAATTCAACTTGAATAAACTCGGCGCGACTGACAAACTTTAATAGCCGTCGTTTATTTCATATTTTAACGAGATTTTATGTTAATTGTTATTCTACACATTTAAACACTATAATTATTACAAGTTTCCTTTAAGCTTTTATAAGTATGTTTATATATACATACATGTAAGTGCATTTATATACACAAATCTTTGAACTTTTTTTTATTAGAAAAATAAGTCGTAGTACGACCTTCAATTCTATAAAAATCTTACTGGTGCTTTCTTTCATACGTTTTTTTTCGAATTTCAAATAACAGTTTTATGCAAATAACCTGTTTCTTGGCTTACAAAGATAGAAATTTACTTACCGTGTTCATACGGCGAAAACGTGCCGGCATCTATATTTATGTATGGATCGATTTTTATGGAAGTAACTTCGATGCCACAGGATTTTAATAAAGTGCCCAAAGAAGAGGCAATGACCCCTTTGCCTACTCCACTTATAACACCCCCCGTCACAAGTATGTACTTCATTATCACTGCCTATACTCGTAAGTAACAAAGAAAAATCCGCTAAAATCAATTCTTAATTGTTTAATGTTTTTATATATTACCTGCAGTATTGATTGATTTGTTCAAAACAGAGTGAAGAAATACACAAACTAAATAAACGTTTGCAAGCGAAGAGCGATAAGACGCAAAAAATTATTTGTAGAGAAGTGAAGAGAACACGTGGTACGGTTAAGTATTCGCGCTTATGGCAAAATTTATACTATCCGGTTCACCTTTCAATTGGGGTATATATTTAATTATTTAGAAAAGAAATTTGGAGTTTTATTAATTTCACTGCAATTATTGAAAATTTGCCAAATTATTCCCATTAAAATCTTACGCTTCTTTTACAATACACTCTATTTCCGTCAAATTCGTATTCGTGCTGACAACGAAAGACCAAATTTTCTTTTATTTGCTCTTGTTATCCTTCACATATTCTCACACGATATCACTCAACTAAACAATCAAAGCCAATATTAACTTAAATAAAGTTTTTCTTACGTTAATTTAATTTATTAAATAATCCGCTTTTAATTTCGTATTTCGAATTGTTTTAAGAAAGTAAACTCGAATTACAGACTTTCTCACCTCATACGTTCGTCTTTCTTCATGCTTTGCCTTAGTGATTCTCTCTATATTGCTTTCTCTCTTTTTCAGACACGAGTAAAATAAAATGTTTAATAACAGCACCAGCAATCCCACAGTGCTGCCAAGTAATCAAGCAAATCTCCCTGTATTACCAGCGGTGCTAGCCAAACAATTACTGAATTCAATTATCGATAACATGTATGCCTAGAATGATCAATGCAAAAGTATGTATGTTGATTTTAAAATGACTTAAAGCAAATGACTTGAGAGTTGCGGTTGTACGTCCTACCACCTACGTACAACAATTACTGAATTCAATTATCGATAACATATATGCCTAGAATGATCAATGCAAATGTTTGTATGTTGATTTTAAAATGACTTAAAGCAAATGACTTGAGAGTTGCGGTTGTACGTCCTAGCACCTACGTACACCAAATTTTACCTTCATATAATTGGAGCTGTGAAAATCGGATAAAAATTTTTAGCTTTTTTAATTTTACGTGCAAAAATATAACATGTTTGCTATTTTTACTCTATTTTATGAAAGCACCTTATGTTTGTTTTACGTATTTTAACGTGACTTACTTTTGTTTATTCGCTTTGGGCACCTTAAATTTTATGGCTGCTCCGTCAAACTTAACAAACTTAACAACTCCATGCACGTTTCTAATTCCACGAAAAAAAGGAGAAAATTTATTTTCAAGCTTGAAAATACTTACTAGTAGGAAGACGTTGGTTATCATCAATTAAAAGTCCTATTTGCCATGCAAAATAATCTAGGCGATGAAATTGATAATATTCTAAGAACTGTTCAAGTACCAGTTCTCAACAAATCCCTACGTATTTTAATGCAGTTGGTGAAGTTATTGAAAGAGGAATTTGAACCAAGTCCCTTGATTGGATACCGACGGAATTCTCTCTAAGAAGTTCTTTGCTATTCTATTTCTTTTTTTTCTGCTGCAATAAAGACACTGTCTCAAATCTTAAAAAA